ACTTTGAGTGCTGTCTTGAGTATCTTCTCCGCCTCCAATATGGTCATAGCCTCCTCCTCGGCTAGGAGTATGTAGGCCGGTGCACATTCCGCGTTTATTTCAAGCGCATTATGTGCCGACTTGATGCGCTGCATGGGATTGCGTTCACGCCACGCCGTCTGCATTATTTCATACTCCTCTTTGCCAGCATCGCCCTCGCAAGTGAAGAACGTCTGATGATCCTGGGCACTCAGATTCATGTCATAGTATGTCAATGGCTCCTTGCTGGTGGCCCAAAAGAAGCGTTGGTACTCAGCGCCACGGAAGAGATTCAATGGATTGCGCCACACTTTGCACTCAGGTGTGCCCGAGCTGTTGCCCGAATTGGAATTGGCTCCAGAACCACCTGCCCCACCATTTGAGCCACAACCACCATTGCTGCTGCTGCTGGAACCACTGCTGCTGCTGCTGCCATTATCCGATTGCGCATCATTGCCATTAATCCAGGGGCTGATGTGATTGATCGATACTTGCTCTAAAAAATAAAAAATTTTCCAATTTTTTCAAAAATTCTACAATTTAAAGAAGAAGAAAAAACAAGAAAAACTTACCTATGAACGAGGTGCCGTATTTGCGAAAATACCACCATTCGAAAATAAGTATTAGGCCTGATATAAGGCTAGAAGTGCCAGTTAGTGCCACATAAAACTTTGGCGTCAATGTGCTCAAGAACATTGAGGAGTCCCACATCCTTTCGTCCGTCTTGCCAGCAAAAATTTGGGACACAATTTTTGTATATTTTGCCGTTTAGCTTTTGGCTGTTGTTGTTGTTGTTGCTATTGTCGCCGCCACGATCGAGCGGTTTGCAGTGTTTGTCGCTAATGCTTAAAGAATTTCTACTCAGTTGATGTTGTCTATGTTTCTTTTCTTATTTAAACAGCGCGTGAAAATAAACAAATTTACCCCTCTTATCAATCAGCGTTTATCCTGGCTGCAGATGAGATTTTTTTCTATAAAGTATTCATCGGAGTGGTGTGGGGGGTAGCGACTAGAGCTGTCAAAATCATCGTTGTCAACTATCGATATGGATATTTCACTGCTAGTATTTTCTTTAAAAGAGTGACCAAATTTTTCGATACATTTCCTGTATATCGCATATATTTGTTAATGGTAAATTCATCACTATAAAATGGCCGCTGTTGCAGCAAGTGCATGAAAAACTGCGAATAATAAAAACTTGCTCAAGTGCATAGGAATTTAAAAACGTAACTACATTAACAGATAAATAACAGCACTTGGGATATGGCCGAAGTTAATGACACAGATTTAGATGTCCAGCAAAAGCAAAATGTGGCAACAGCATCAGAAACAAACAGCATAGTAAAGGAAGAAGAAGCAGAAGCAGAAAAAGCGGTCGCATCAGAATCCAAACATGAAGAAAAGAAAATTTTGAGTGACGATGGTGGGACAAAAGCCGATAAGCTTGATGAGTTGAACTCATTGGAGCAGGAAATAGCGAAAATGCACAACATACAACATTGCACAGAATCAGGCCAAGATGAAGAGAAGAAGACAGAAGGGAACGCTGAAGCGGGCAGCAAATCAGAAAATATCACCGGAAGCAGCCAAGACGGACAACTTAAAGATGATCTAGGAAAGGCTAAACGTTGCACTCCTGTTATCAAAGCGCATGCCAACGAGGAGTCAGAGCCAGCAACGACATTGGAGGAAGTTGATCTGATTGCTTTGCTAAAGGGCACCGATCAGGAGCAGGAGCAAGAGCAAACAGATGAGCCACAAAAGGCCAGCATTGAGCTGGCGTTAGCTGAACTGGATAATGTCGGTGTTACGATCGAGGGTGAGGGGCAATATGAGATCATGGAAATCGATGATGGAGACAATGTTAGTGGGCCCAGTCCTGAGTTATTGTCAACTGCAAAAAGCAGTGCAAGTGCCTTGAAATCCAACTCAAAATTTGCTGTGGGTAAGACTAAACTGTCTCCGGAGCAAGCCAGAGCTGTGGCACTGGAGCAAATGGCCGATCTGAAGGCTAATAAAATGCGTCGCAAAGAGTTGACAAACAACAAGCAAAAAGAGCAACAGCAGCAAAAGCCCCAAGATATAATCAGTTCGCTGAATGATGATTGGAACGAGTATGATAGTAGCAGCGAAACAGCGTCCAACTCCAATGCAGTTACCAACGAAATGCCTGCCTCAAAGAAGCCGCTCGTCAAGAAGGCCAAATCAACAATAGAGGTGCCTCATATGCTGGGCAGTGTAAAGGTAATGCTGAAATCCGTTCAGCCAAGAAGCCTGGAAAAGCCAAAACCACCTGCAGAGCAGCCCATCATCAATGCAGAACCCACAGGTAAGACTTTTCTATATAAAAAGGTTATGGCAATTAATCGAATATGTTTTTAGGTTTCAAACGAACGCGTATTATAAAACGTAAAATTATATGGGATCCAGATGTGCCTGAAACGCAAAAGTCCTTTGCGCAGTATGCAAGTCCAAAGCCCAATCAGAATGCAACAGCAAATGTACAAACAACTATATCAACCGTAACAACTACAAGTACAACAACAGCAGCAATTGCGAAAGCAAGCAATATGGAAGTCGTGTCAAAAAAGGCACGACCTTCAACACCGAAAGAGCCGCCGAAGGTGTCTGCTAAGCGTTCCGTTACACCCGCCAAATTGGCCGAATCGAATGTCGTTTCGCCACCCAAACGTCGCTCACAAACACCGAATGTGCCCAATGGGGCAGGCAGCCAGGCCAAGAAGAAGAAAGTAAGCGAAATTGATCGACTGATGGGCGATGAGGGCGCCGCCAATATGATGCAAGCTGTAGAGCGTGAGCAGCGAGAGCTAAGCGGCGGCGAGTCAGCCAACAAACCGCTGATGCGCAAGCGATCGCTGACACTAACTGGCAGAGTAAGTTGTAGAAATTGCATAAGTTTATTCAGTATTTTAAAACATTCCTTTGCAGCTACAAAAAGCAGCAAATGCAACTGCAACTGCAGTTGAGCCTACGAGCACGCCCACGCCCACTAAAAAGGAAACCCCACCTAAAGCCGGAAAGCGAAAAGAGACGGGCAATAACTCAGCTGCCGTTGAAGCCGTCTTCACAAAGGCAGCAAAGCCACGTCCATCCGACTCCTGGGATTATGTGTACAAGCAACGTGCCAGCGAGGAATCCATGATAATGCGCCGACGCTCTAATAGCTCGTACTCCAGCAATGCCTCTGCAAATCGCTCATCATTGGATAATAAGCCCGCCACAGTGGCTAATTTATCAGACGATGCGTCCGATGCAGCAACAGTGGATCCGTCGTTTATATTCCTGAAGCCAGAGAATAAAGCGAACCAAAGAAGCGATGGCGCAGCCGCACCCCAAACGCTGGCTAATGATCTTAAAAAGGGAACATTGCAGGCGAAGGAGCTGAAGACGGCCAAAGTGGAGCTGGTGACGTTGCACAAGCTGGAGAAGGTTACTCAACTGGTGATCAATACGCAGATGAGCAAATCGGGCTTCACATACAAAGTGCAATTGTTGCAAAAGCTCAACGAAATACTAAACAAATTGGCCAAAAGCAACGATTGCAATACAGTGCTGCTCAGTGTGCAGGGTCAGCAATTCTGTCAGGGAATCGATTGCCAGGAGCTGCTGGCTGCCACGCTTGAGAAGCGTAAAAATAATGCCACACAATTGGCATTGGTTTTAAAGTGAGTTGCAGATTATTCGAACTATATATTCTACCTACACATATTGTAATATCTAATTTATCTTCCAATAGAACATATCTCCGCACTTTGGCTACATTCCCTAAGCCTTTGATCGCTGGCATTGTCGGCAACCTGAAGAATTTGGGCGTCATGCAATTGCCATTGTTCGACTATGTTTTGGCAGCCGACGATTGTTGCTTTGAGACGAACTACGCAAAGCTAGGACAGCTGCCGGAGGGCTATGCCTTCTGGCACAAACACCAAAAGATCGCCACACAAGTTGTAGGTCTTAATATATAATTGTTATTTAATTTTCTTTGTTAATTGTATTTTTCTATTTGTATTTCCAGCAAACGCGTTTGTTTTTGCTGGGCGAGCGTTTGCACATGTCGGACGTGATTGATTCACCGAGCAGTTTTATTGATAAAACCTGCAAATCGCGAAGCGTAAACGAAGAGGCTCTGGCAGTGGCTAAACTCATTTCCAACACCACAGCAGAGGTGGGTGAAGGCACCTGAATCATTATGAATACATATTTGAATAATTTTCATCTACTCTTACAGCACTATCGCTCACTCAAGAAGCTAAACCAAACGGCTAATACGGCGTCTCTGCAACGGCTCGAAGCTGAGTTTAAGATCATAACTGAGCAATGGTTATCGGCCAATTTTCAGGCCAACTACAAACGTTATGTTAATGATGTGGAATTCTAAGATTGTTGTTAAGCTCCCCTCAGGCTACCTATCAAAGGGTAGTATGTTCTTTTAGAAAAAATACAGAAAAAAAAAAACACAAAAATGAACAGTAAATAAAACCTGCGAAATTTCGTAACTAGTTAAATTTAGATCCAACATAACTCTCTATTCTGATTAGGTTACGAAATATGTAAACTGCATCGTAATTGTAAATGAATTAATAATTGTCTTGAGCTCAAATCGACTATTATCGATTTGGGGCCTCATTTGACTCATAAGAAATTTTATATTATTACTTTTTAGTCTTTTGACATGTAATTTTCTTTGATTATTAAGTAAATTTTTCAATTTATTTTGATATTCGAATCAATAGTGAATATTTTTTCTAATATATTTTGATTTTATTATATGTAGGATCTTCATGTACATATTTTATTTTTAAGATATCGTGTATTTTGTTTCCCATCTATACAGTCTCATAAACACTCCGATAGTTATAGAACTTTATCATCATCGATCCACTTCTATTCCATATTTTTTAATAATTCTGAGTATCTTTCTTATTGCCTGCATAATATTTTCATTTATACCAATTTAAAAATTGCTATTGCCATCGAGTGCTTTATTTGAGACTAGAAAAGTTTGACTATTTTATATAATTATTATTATAGTATAGTACAATTATTAATTGTTAATTATAAACGTTATGTTGTCAATGCAACTAGCAATTTAACTACTAAGAAGTACTGAATCTCTTGTGGCTAATGTAGTGAATTTTAAATGCACATCTCCTCCAGCTGCTGCTGCTGCTGCTCCTCCTTCCGTTCGACCTCCACCTAGTTCAGTTTATCCTGCTCGTAATAGGCAGGCAGCTCGGACTGGATGCGTAGCAATCGCACATAGCTGATCAGTTTATAGTCAGTGTACGGATATTCGCTGGGCTTCACAAACGTGGACATGTAGGAGACCAATTCCTGCGAGCCATCCGTATCGAGATCTGCGATCAACATGGAGTTCTCTTGATTGAGCAAGTCGGGTTGACAGATCATTTCGTTGCGATCGCTGCGACAGAACTGGATGATGTTGCTCTGTGAGGTGTTCTCGATGCGCGTATCGGCGCCAATGAATAATACCAATATAACTGTTTCCGTTATCATCTGCATTTTATAGTTCTTCATCAGGCCGGCAACGGGTTTGCTCTGATTTCGAAACGTTTCACGTTTTTGAATCGGATGGAACAGATCGAATTCCTCATGCTCGGCGGGAAATTGATGAGTGAGTGAATCCCTTTTAAGCCGTTGTTGCTGCTGCTGTTGCTGCTTCTTTTGCTGCTGCTGCTGCTGTTGTTGTTGTTGCTGTTGGGTCTTCGAGTATATCTTATCCTTGTTCTTCTCCTTTTCCTTTATGCTGTTCAAATTTTTGGAGCTACTGCTACTGCTGCTGTTGGTGTAGTTGTTCATCTTGTCCACGCTGTTGCTGTTGCTGTTGCTCGCCGGCGGTGGTTTTGCCTTGACTACGCTGATCCACTTCCAGAACTTGATGACAAAGCCAGACATCTTTGACTTGCTGTTCTTGAAGTGCCACTGAGCTGGCGCCATGCCGTACATTGCGTTCTCCGTTTGATTGTACAGCATATGCCGACGACCATCGCGCATTTCGCTCAGCTGCAATGTGACATTGCAGTCGGGGCATTTGCCACGATTCTCGAGGATCAGCTCCCTGCCACTGAGCAGATAAACATTGCGCTGTGTATCCATTTGCTTGCGATGCTGAGCAATCTTGGAGGCGGGCGTCAGACGTCGACCCATCAGCGATTTGTTAGTGATGAGCGCATAGAGCTCGGCGAGGCTCTTGAAGCGCTGCTGAGGCTGCTGATCTGTGCTGGAGGTGCAGCTGTAGCTGATGTTGTTGTTGACGTTCAGCTGCAGACGGCTGAGCTTCTGGCAGTCGTGTATGCGAAAGCCCTCGCCGATGGGTCGACCTCGACGACCTGACAGCAGGCGCAGCACGTTGCGTGCCTCGAGTTGTTGTTGCGTTTGCTTTGGCTGTTGCTGCTGGATAAGCGTCTTGGTGCGCTGCTCTAGCGAGAGACTGGATATCAGCAATATATCCAACACGCCATCGCCATCAATATCGGGCAGTATGAGTGGAAAGTCGTATGCATTTAGCTTCTGTGCAGCATGATCCTTGAAGCGCCAGTGCCATTCGCCGCTTCCCGAATTAATAACACCCACTTCGCCGTACTCTTCGATGACCAAGCAATCCGGCTTACCATTGAGGTCCACGTCGAGTAAGGTGCAGTCAATGGCCACGGGCTCATCTACTGTCTCATCGTACCATGCTACAGCGCCGGAGCTGCCAATCAGTGAGATTATGCCATTGCGTTTATGATTGTTGGGACGAGAATCCGGAAAGAAGACATCGCCACGATATAGAAATATCAAATTGTTCTCCCAAGCACGTAAACCAGCGACGACATTTACTCCTCCTCTCAGCTCGATCTTGGTATAGTTCTTAAACCAATTGCGGGTCTTTTGACGATCCACGGGCGCTGGACAAGCTCCAGTGCCATCTGCTGGGCCACAGGGAACGATCCAAACGAAGCCAACCACAGCGAACAGGCAGAGCAGCAGCGAGGCTATAAAGCAGCAACGTCTCTTCGTGGACATGGGCGACCGCTTCAATTCTGATTGATCCGATTGATGACCCAATATGGCGACATTATCCGCATTCGTTTCGTATTCGGCACCAAAATTGGAGAACTCAACGCCCACATTGCTGCCGGCATTGCTACCCAAATCACTGAGCATAACTGAGCGAAATGTGTTTTGCATATTGGTGGTGTAGCTGCTGCAGTTGGTGTTGTTAAATTGTTGTTGTTGCTGCTGTCTTTGTTGATGCTGCTGCTGCTGTTGCTTCGATTGTGTATGTGACGTCTTTAAAGCTAATGTATTAGGTGGTATTCGAATTCGATTGCGTTGTTGTTGCAGTTGCGATTGTTGCTGTTGCAGTTGCAATTGTTGCTGGTGTAGCTGATGCTGGAGTCGATGCTTATTAGCGTTATGTATTTCAATTTCTTCATCGGATTCAGAATCGGTCATTGCCTGACTTAGCGGCGTGTAGATACCTTGATGATTGGGCAGTGAATCCGTGTGCAGCATTTTAGCTAAATGCGAGAAAAATCAATAAACCAATATACGAGTTAAACGGCGCATTCGAAATATGCTCCGACTGTTTGACATCTACAGCAACTAACCTTAGTTTGACGGCACAAGCAATTGCTGTTCACTTGCATCATCCACATAGCTAATGTTTTTAGCTTGTATAAATATTTTTAAAAGGAATAAGAACGTTGAAGTTAGCGCGTTTCGTTGACAATCAAATAAGAGTGTTGTAAGCTTTTAATTTGCAGCTGTTATCGATTGGTACAAACGATATAAAGTTTTAGTATTTTTTAAGCTTGAACTTCTATAGCTTAAGTCTGCCAAGCAAATGTGAATATTAATTATTTTGGCTTTTAATCATAATATTACTCAAAGTGATATTTTATAATTCATTTATATTTATTTAAGTCGATTTATTTACTTAAGTGCAATATTATAATACATATCCGTTGGAAGTTTTGTTTAAGAGTGTCTGTAAGTTTAAGCTGTTTCTGTGTTATCGATAGCACTGCCTGACATAAGTGTAAGTGTTTCGGTATTTTTGTTTAATCATCTGTTCACACTTGCCGCCCATCACTATATCACAAAAAAATCAACAACAACAACTGCAGTGGTTTACGTGCGTGAAAATTAGTTAAGTTTTTAAGACGAGACGGAAAAACAGTATTTTACTCACACGAAAACGCACAGATATTGTTATAAATGGTGCAACAAACGGCCAGGCAAACCCCAAACGGCAGCAACGAAACGCAGCGCTGTTAAACAACGTGAATTGCAAAAGTGAAAACAGTGCCAAAAGCAAAACGTAAAAGCAAAAGGCAAAAGCAAAAAAGAAAAGGCTACACATTCACACATACGTACATAAACATATATGCATATGTACATATACTCAAGTGGTGCTCGCGTTGCACTCGATGCCCCTGTTCAATAAGTTATTTACTTGATATTTTTGTTGTAGTGTGTTGCAATTTCAACAGCTGCGGCAACAGCAGCTAGAAACCACAGCCAAACATACACCTACACACAGTCGCACACACCCTTCCATTCACACATACATTCGACGCAGGCAGATATAGCTCTGTGCATATTGCGTATTGCAGAGTGAGAGAAGATAAACCACAACAACGATTCAGCTTCAACGTTTTACCTTCAGCTCACACACACAAGCACACGCACACACAGTCAACACATGTCTTACATGATGGCCAAAACTCTGGAGGAGCAAAGCCTGCGCGAATGCGAACATTATATACAATCGCATGGCATTCAGCGCGTCCTCAAAGACTGCATCGTCCAGCTCTGCGTCTGCCGACCGGACAATCCTGTCCAATTCCTGCGTAGCTATTTTCAAAAACTGGAACGGGTAAGATTTCCCAATATATTACAAAATATAATTTATTAATTTGTTATTCTAATTTCTTACAACTGCATCGAGCTTTCCTTGGTTGTACTATACTCAGATGTCCCTTTGTTAGGATTCATTGGCGCTGTATTTTATGTTGCTTTCATCTTATTGGAAACTGTTAGTTGGATGTAGAATGGAGTCCCAGCGCTCAATGTCCTTTATTCTATTTGCTGTTTTATTACGACAGTCTTGATTCTAATATTTTTTAAAAGTTTAATCTCTAGTCTCTCTCAATCCCTTCAAGTCTATCTATGAGAAAGTATTTCATAAAGACCAAAGGTTATAAATCGAAAGAGATCAAAATTTTAATTTGTGGTCTCTTGACTTATGACAACTCGAGTCACGCCCTTTCAACCCTCTCTCTGTTTCTGCTTACCTCACTACCATGTGTCAAGGACTCGACTATCATGAACAGTTAACTAGTTTTCCAATAGAAGAGTAGGCTTTGAAAAGGCAAAAATTCCTCAAGCTATATCTAATACAAATTGAAGCCAGTTAAACTACAGCTATTATACAGTAAACAACGTAGAGAAATATTTCTAAAAATTTAACGTCCATTTTTGAGTTTCGGGTGTTGGAAATTAATAATTGGTTTGATTACGTTTTTCGATTTACAATGGATGATGTACCCGTATTGCTGACATCTAGCCCCTATTACAATTTCTTGCGAGAATATTGGCTGGGCTGTGATGATCGAAGCATTTCACCACAGAAAATGATCTGCGATGCAGCTGCCACTTGGAGAAATCTACATCCAATCGAGCGGTTAATGTTCGAAGAGGTGAGGAGCGAACGAGCGAGCAGCATTGATCAATCCTTCACATAAATAATGAAAAATCACTCTTTATTCCGTTTCAAAGTCTAATTATATAGGCGCACGTCTAGCCGTTGATCTCTTATTGCCTGTGACTACCAAATATAAAAAGACTAGCAAGCAAGCAAAGTCTAAATTGAAGGCAACAAAGCCTCAGCCAAGTACCGTCAGAAAATTCAAGTCGACGCATCCATCAAAGCGGCAAAGTGTCCAATCGAAGAAATCAAAACAAAACAAATGCCGTTCTACTTAGTCAATGGGTAGACTTAGCTAAACCAATTGTCATTTTACTGCCTCTTACTCAACTCTCATTGCTTTATAGATATTTTATTCATTTACCACCACACAATAAAATTTATCCCTTTTTAACGTAAAACTCATCGGTAAATTTATACGGAATAGCGTTAGCATATATAAAAATAGATTAAATAGATTTAATAGATGTAATTTTTTTGTCTTAGGCAATATTATGCAGTCGAAAACGCATGAGTGTAACATGTTAGTTTTTATGCTATCCCTGCATTAACGATAACTGGGCTACTTCTGCCTCTTATCTACATATCAATAATTATTGTATCGTAACTTTTGGCTGCCATTGTTCATCCCTGAAATTCGCCATTGTTAATCAATAAATCGCTTATTGGTCTATTTTGGGGTCAGCAGTGACCACAACATGGACTAATTTAGAAAAAAATAAATAAATAACGGGAGTAGCATATGAGATGCTTCAATGGTTAATCATAGCTCCCGCCTTCGCTCTCCTCTTCGCTCTCGCTTTCGCTTCAATACATAAATAAACACTCACTGTGGCTGCATGTGTGTGTGCGTAGGTTGCGGCTTGCATTATTGCATTGGGTGTTGAAGAAGCTTAAAAGCTTCCAAATGGTTCCTGAAAATGGCTGCCTGGCAGAAAAGTTCTGACGCGAGTGCAGTTTTTGTTCGTACTGTCACAATGCAGCGATAGCGGCACCTGTGGCCTACGCGCTCTCCCTCTCTCTTTTTCACTTTGCTTGCTGCTACACCCACCCGTTTCGCTCTCTACGAATGCCAGCCAGCCTGTCTACCTACCTGCCTGCTTTCCAGCCTGCCTGCTGCTTGCTTGTTGCCTGTTGAATGCCCGCGTCGGACTTCAGTTTGATAAACAACTTGGCGCCGTGCAGAAGCGCCCGTTGTGTGTGCGATTTCAACCAACCTCGGCTATTGTCTATAACGGTATACCGTTACTTTGTGAATTTGAGTCTGTTGCGTCGTATCGCCCGCCATGGGCAATCAGCTGAGCGTAAACGGATTTCAGGATGCGGTTATTGATCGCTTCAAATCAGTGGCCCTCACCACAGACGAGAATGGCACAATGCGCATTCGTTCCTTCTCGGAGGTGGGCGTCAGATATGCTGCTGCCCAGCAGCATGGCAGTGGGAGCTTTAGTGGGCGCGGCGGTCGCATTTTGCGGGAAAGCAGCATTGATGGAGGCGTTGCTGTCTTCGATGTCATGCTACGCGATGACCATGAGCATCGCTTGAGTCTGGATGCAATGCATCGTGTGCGACATGTACGCACCTCCTGCACCACCATACCAGAGGAGGACATTGTGAGTCTTGCTTATACATACGATCGTAATTGCGAGCTATCTTATAACAGCTCTACCCACACCTTTTAACTACCCACGCACTGCACTTGGTGCAGTTTATTGTTGTTGTTATTTCATATGGTTGAAAAGCTTTTAAGCATAGCGAGCTGCTTGCTCGCTGTATTCCTCTCTCTCTCTCTCTCTCTCTCTAGATTGTTGAGCAAAAGCTTTGATTTGTTTGCTGGTGCTGTGTATGGGCGACGCAGGCGGGAAATAATAAACGTAATGACCAACAGTAGAGTCAAATGTCGAAGTTGAAATACCCTTGCAGCTATAGAAAATATAATTAAGTGCTATTTTAATACCATCTTAAAACTAAACAGTTTAAATTAAATTAAATCTAATTGGAGATTTAAATAATTTATAATAGTAAGTAGTCACTCGATATTAGTACGGCTTAAAAATACTGGAGTACACATTTAAGTATGTTTCCGATTTGCTAACATTTTTATGTATGCGCCAACGTTCACACATACAAAGCGCTAAATGTGCTCTTTTGTCTACCAGGAATATAAAATACACGCACTAACACTTGCATGCACACATATCATAATATATTCAAGTAGCTCAACTGGCAGCTACGGTCTCCTATGTTTACATTGCGTTCTCACTCACTCTCACTCTTCAAGCGCTGTGAGAGCGACTAAGCCTTACACAAACACTCGCACACACATACGGATACGAACATTAGCTCTCACTCACCCACACACATTCGAGACAACAGCTTTTTGCAAGTTTATGGCAATTTTGCATTTGAGAAAAAAAAAGCAACTCTCGGCACGCAGCACAAAACGGAATCAAAATGCGAAGCCGCTGCCGAAGCTTTTGCCAGGCGCCCTTTTTGCTCGCTGTTGCTGCTGCTTGTTGTTGTTCAGGCTGATGCTGCTGCTACTGCTGCTTCTGTCGGCGCCGCAGCTGCGTCACAGGTTTGTTGTTGTGTTCGTGTCTCTGTGTGCGAAAAGTTTTCGTTTTATTTTTTTTTTGGCCACTTTCCTTGGGCTGTGCGTGTTGGTGAAGGTCATCATGTCGTCGTCGGTGCTGTTTACTGTTAGTCAGTTTGCAATCGTCGTGGCTGTCGCTGCTGTTAACTGTTAACTGTGCTGCGTGCTGAGTGCTTAGTGCGTGCGTTGTCTTAGCCAAACGCCATCTGCCGCCATCTTCTGTGCTGTTGCTACAGTTAGACTTCGCATATTGTTCGCTCATTGCTTGTGCTGCTGCCGTTCGCTACAGTCGCGTTGCGTGTACCGTTGATTGATTGTTGTTTATGACACGCCTCACACAATTGTCAACGATTCCAACACATCAAATTGAACAGTGAATGGCACTAAACCAACGACCGCAACAGTACCAGTTACAGTTTCAGTTACAGCTAACAACAACAACAACTAGAACTAGAACA